TTCTACAAAAAATCAATCACTAACTATTATATATAAGATAAACAACGACAAAAGTAAGAGAATAAATAAAAGCCTAAATATATATGTATATATATATTTTTTTTTTAATCAAGTCAAATAGATAATGACCACACTTCTTCTTCTTCTTCTTCTTCTTCTTCTTCTTATTATTATTATTATTATCAAACAATATATAGATAGACACACAGAAACAAAATGGTTGAGTGATAGCAGCTGAATAAAATAGCATAGGTCTTACAGTTTCAACAAATCAATAACATGTTTTTCATCTTCCCTTTTCTTTCTCTCTATCTCTTGCTCCTCCATTTTCCCTCTTCATCTTCCCTCTTCTCTCTCTATCTCTCTTCTCCCATTTTCAACCTTCTTTCTTTTTCTTTTTCTTTTTTTCTTTTTTGTGTTTTTTCAAAAGAAGCAATTCGGAACTGTTATGTAAAGGTGCATAACAGGCCGTTACGGCACCATTACGACCGCTATAGTGGCCGCTACGGTCGACACACCTGTGAATCTCAATCACACTGCAAAAGCAGCCGTAACGGGTGGCGGTAACCACCACAACCGTTACGTAACGGCATTACGTAACGGTTGTGGCCGCTTTTTAAAACCTTGGGTTCTGTAGATGACAAAAGGTCTACATCTGGTTACTGTGCATTTGTAGGGGGAAATTTAATCACTTGGCATAGTAAGAGGCAGGCAGTGGTATCCAAGTCTAGTGCAGAGGCAGAATATCGAGCTATGGCGCATGGTACATGTAAGCTTATGTGACTTTAGTCCTTGTTGGATGATATAGGAATTGCATGTGGTGAACCCATGACTCTATAATGTGACAGCAAAGTTGCCATCAATATTGCTCACAATCCTGTTCAGCATGATAGGACCAAGCATATTGAGAGGGGTTTGATATATACGCCTTTTAGGAAGCCTGAAGATCAATGGGTTGATGTATTTCCTAAAGGTCTTGGAAATAAGATCTTTCTTCTTATTTGTTGCAAGTTGGGTATGAGATATATATTTGCACCAACTTGAGGGGAGTGTTAAGTGTTAAGTGTTAAGACATTGGCATCTTAAGGGTAGTTATGTAATTAGTGTTAGTGTCTTCTATTATAAATACATGTGTACGCAAAGGGAAAAACCTAGGTAGCGTTTGGTACAATTTTAGAATTATGATTTGAAAATAGAGTTGTATTTTGAGTTTGTAAGTTTTGGAATTATGATTTAAGTCTGAAAAAATTGTTTGGTTATGAGTTTTGGAAAAAGTTTTGAAAAGAGTTTTGAATTGAGTTTGAAATTTTTGATGTGACATATGATTTTTTATTCAAAAACTTACAACTCATAACCAAACACACAACTCAAAATTATATTCAACGCTCATAAAAAAAAATTTAAAAAATTCTGAAAATATTTTCTATTTAAAATATAAAAATAACAGATGCCCAACAAAACAAAAAAAGAACACGAATACTGTTCCGGCCGAACATCTGAGAGGATAACCAGGGTAGACGTGCTTTCAACAGTGGCTGTGGAATCAATTTTTGAAAGTTCTTGCCAAACACTACACTCAAACCAAGGGGTAGAACTAGGATTTCAGAACTCTACCAAACAGAGCCCTAAGTTTTGAAATATAATAGAAGTTGCAGCCGTTTACTCCCTCTCTCTCAACTCTCTTTCATTATTGTTCTTTGACTGTAAAATCAACACATTACAATATTTTTACCATCCAAAAAGATACTTTATGGGTCTTGAACCACGATCTGTTAACTTGCATTTCAATACCACAAGCTTGTGGTCCCATTACCCTAACAGTAGTCCCTGTAATTAAGGGGTGCTGAAAGGATGGAATGGGTACAAACTAAACTTTGGCATGATTTATACAATGTGGCTGCCCTCAGCCTCAGACCTGTGTTATCACACATTCTTGACAACATCAGTTACACTCTAACCATTGCACATGAAATGGCCCCTACTGAAATTGCAAGGACTGATGCCATTTTTAAAAGAGATTAAATTCTTTACCGCTATCCCGTGAAATCATGGGTTTATGGGCAAGCCCGTCAAGTGACACCACTTCAGTAAACTGTAGACTTCAGAAAATTTTACCCACAAGGATACACCATAGCATCCCCCATTCTTCTCTTCCCATGGATCTCTCTGCTTTCCATTCCCTCTCCCCTTACTGACCATAAACAGCCACCAACTCCCTCCCCCTTCTCCCCCATTAATTCAGACAGGGATCCAAGAGATTTCACCATAATGACGCTGATCTCTACAATAACAGAGAGCTAGATCGTCTCCAGGGTGAAGTTTCAAGGGTGATTCTATAGTACTTGTTTGAGTCCAACATAGACATTGAGACCTTCGACGACGGATACCTCGCCTCATGGTCGTGGAAGGCATATCTTGAGACTAGGTGGTTCCATAAGAGCCAACTGATCCCAGAGACCTGTCATCTCAATATAAAAGTCCTGAATAGTTTGATCCCGCTGACGAGCACCCTGAATAGTTGTTTCCAACTCATACCGCTTGGCAAAATTGGACTACTGATAAACACCGAGTAAATAATCCCACACTTCCTTGGCAGTACTGTACTTGGAAAACATCATTCCAATACGGTCATCCACAGAGTTGTGAAACCAGGTAAGAACTTGGGCATTATCACAATCCCAAGTGTCACAGGAAGACAGATACCCTTCTACCTTTGGGTCCGACAGACGAGGAGCAGAACCAGAAACATAGCCCCATTTTTTTTTACCAAGAAGAAAATTCTTCATAACACTGGCCCAATAGGCATAATTGCCACCATTGAGTTTACATTTAATGGCTTGAATTTTAGGGTCCATTATTGTAATAAACAGAAGATTAATGGGTCAAAGTATACTAATAACTTAATAAATGGGCCAAACAGGAATAAGGGTTTTAAATGGAAATACCCAAGTTGAAGCACAGAGATCGCGAAGCAGAGAGAGAGAGAGAGAGACTGAAGCTGAGATTGATCTTCAGACGGAGCTCGCGAAGATCTCAGACAGAGATCACGAAGCACAGAGGCAGACGAACCAGATTACTAGAGAGCCGACCACAGAGAGACGACCCCAGGAGTCACGAAGCACAGAAAGGCGACCACAGAGAGACGACCACAAGAGTCGACCAAGACGGAGACACGATGAGCAGCGAGGACGACTAAGACTGAGATGAGCAGTTCGATGGGTCAACTGAGACGACTCACTCGCGAGACGAGGCATTCAAAAGAAGCCCTTGCAGACGAAACAGATGGGTCACCCAAGTCACGAACAGAGATCGAACCAAAGGAGTTTGATCATGTACCAGATAATCGAGAAAGAGAGAACTCGATCAAACAGATGAATCACGAACAAAGTTGAACCAGTTCGTGCATAACCCTAGCCAACACGAAATCAGGAATCACAAAGCTCTGATACCATGTAAGTTTTCTAAACAACCTGTATATTAGATTGAATTAATTTGAACAAAGAATACATACATCATTTATATAGAGTACCACTAATTCCTAACCATACATGAATACATTACTGAGATATATAGAAGTCTAATAGACATAGGACACTTATTCCTAATTATTCCTAATCCGAGGAGAACACATATTTCTCACACTCTCTGCCTTCCATTCCCTCTCCCCTTACTGACCATAAACAGCCACCAACTCCCTCCCCCTTCTCCCCCATTAATTCAGACAGGGATCCAAGAGATTTCACCATAATGACGCTGATCTCTACAATAACAGAGAGCTAGATCGTCTCCAGGGTGAAGTTTCAAGGGTGATTCTATAGTACTTGTTTGAGTCCAACATAGACATTGAGACCTTCGACGACGGATACCTCGCCTCATGGTCGTGGAAGGCATTGTTGCCTCCTTTAGTTTTGCCATCACCCTCCTCGCCAAGAGCAAGGACCAAATCATGGAAGACAAATCCAAGGTCAACAGTTCTGCTCCACCCTTCACTCATGCACCAATTTCAGATTCATCCACTGGCGTGGAAACCATGACAGCTAATTCAACCCCGTCGCCAGTTCCACTAGTAGTGAAAGCTTAGGTGGTGGCGACATCATTAGTTTAAACGGCAGAGTCAAGATCCATTGGGAGAAAGGGAAGGGGGAGAAATGACCACATGAGGACAGTTGCATGTGAGTAGGATGAAGTGTTGATGTAGCCTGCAGTTTAAATGAGGTGGCATTGTTTGATTGGCTGTCCGAAAATCTTTGGGTTTACAGGACAACAATGTACAATGTAATCTCTTTTCAACAGCTAGAATTGTTTGTTAAATTTTAATCAGCCAATAACTGTTGATGAATGATTTAAAATTAGAAAATCTAAAGAAAACATTACAAAATAATATATTATAAACAGTTTTTTTTTTAAATTTAAAAAAGAAGATATTTTTCCCTGGGGCATTGGTCAGTGGCTCCCCAGTCATGAAATCAGAAACTAAAACTAGCACTGGGATATACTCCCTCTGTCACACAATGTTTGTCCCTTTTGGGAGTTCCAACTTTTTAAGGGGACATGTAATTAATGCATTCGAATTCAAATCAAAAGACATTGGTTTCCCAAATCACCCCTTTACCTTCATTCCCACTATTAAATATATTTATAGTCATTTATAAAGGATAGTTTTGGAAAAATGTAAAGTTTAATGTTTTGACTTTTCAAAATGGACAAGCATTTTGGAACATCCAAAAATGGAAAGATAGACGAACAATAAAGGATGGAGGGAGTATCAACCAATATAGTACAAGAAGACAGGAGAGGGCATACCCCAATGCCCAAAGCCCAAATCCACAAAATTAATCAGAGTATTGTTATTTCCTCTAACTAATAGACATTGAATAAATTGAGAGCAATTTGTTAACAACTGGAACAAATATCAAAGTTTTATTCAATTGTGTAAACCTGATTTAAAACACTTCACTTAATGCATAACAAGAATTGTGAACTTCAATAGAAACACTTACAAGTTTACAATCATTATTTAAGAAGCTCACAGCTTTAGCTATACGGTGCAATCCCCACGCATAATACTCATCCCTGCCGTCAAAAGAAGCGAAAACAATTCAGAGTGAACCAAATCTATGTACTCATGGATGAGAGATGTTCAAAATGCAAGACATTGATGTAGAAGAGGCAAATAAACTTCACCAAATAAAAGAGCAATGAAATCTGGAATTGAAAAAAAAAATTATAATTAAAATAGACCCTTGAAGAGGGATGCTCACTTTTAGTAAAATTATTCTAAATCTACAGCACTATTTATGTAATATTTCTGATTAAGTGTCCACAAGAAAATTATGTTGTGTACATGAGCAACAATTAATTATGTTACGAAACCACGAAAAAAGGGGAAAAAGAGTGGACACTATTGCTAGTTAGTGCAATAAAGCACCACAAATTTCTAATAAGAAAAAATTAAAATATATATATATATATATATATCTTCTAGAAAAATAGGTTATTTACCTTTGTGTACCTTCTAATCCTAATTCCTTGATCTTTTCTGACAGTGGCATGACAGGCTCAGTGACAATATAGATAGTAACCTTTGTAGTAGAACCATCAAAAGATTCAGCCTCCGTACTGTGAAGGAATGATAAAATATTTGGATGCCTGACCTGAAAGGAGAATGGAGTTTCATATTAGTACCGTAGTAGATGAGGAATCATTAAATTTTAGTAGACAGAAAGACTGAACTACCATATAAAACTATATCATAGAAGTAACAATAAATTTTAAAACAAGTTTAGGGTAAATCTAAAACTCAAAGACCAACTGTTGGCTCCAAATCCCCATAACTGAAGAGTGGCACATATTAAAAACAGTTTCTTCTGCCAGCAGACATGTAGCTAATGCAACTTTAGCTGGGAAATAAATAAATAAATAAATAAAACATTGATGATGATCAAACTCAATAGAACTTCTAATCCTATGGAAAAACTAACCTCAATACTAATAAAGTTAGCTTAATGGGAGGAACCTCAACCAAAAGGTGGTATGTACGCATGCATTGCGCATCTGATATTGATTTTCGTGTTCATATTTTCATGGTCAATTGTCAAATGGCAGCAGATTGCATAGCATCCTCAACCTTAAGATTAAGAAACAAGACTAGACCTTAATGCCTAATTCCTAAATATGATAGTATTTTGGCAAGAGGCCAATGGCCTAAATTGCATAGAACCACATATTTTTCTATGCAGCTTGAAATATAGAGTTAATACTTGTTAACTAGATCCTTTACTGGACTTATATTAATTTTAATAACCTTTACAAGTATTTAAACTTGTAACATACTTCAGAAAATTATGAAAACAGAGCATTGTCTTCTATATCATCACCGCTAATCCTCCAAGCCTCTCTCTCTTTGTTCATCCCTGCTGGTGAGTTGATTGACTGGATTTTTGATTCACTGTGTCTGTATATATATAATTACACATATTATATCTATACTAATAAGAGCCACTTCACATTTAGTATGGGTTGCTTTTTGGCCAATTTCTACCGAACATACCCTCTACTTGTTTGCCCTTCGCTTTTTTGTCTTATTAGTCCTTCAATGAATTTGCAAGATGACACCATGCTGCTGTTATTTTGTAATTTGTCCAATTTATCATTTTTTTTTGTTAAGTTGTGAGATTGTTAATACTTATGTATAAATATTTATAAATTCAACCACAATTAAGTAAACTTCTTAGGGCGTACCCAGTGCACGAAACTCTTGCTTAAGTGAGATCTGGGGAAGGGTTGATGTACGCAGCCTTACCCCCGCAAACGGAGAGGTTGTTTCCGCGACTTGAACCAGTGAAGAAATTAAGTAAATTTCTTATCACTTAAAATTTTATTAAATTTTAGATTACATTTTAAGAGTGACTTAAATTTTTGAGTGATACAATTTGTGATTATTAAACGAACTTAATTGATTTTTATATATTTAGTTTTAAGTGTTGAATTAAATTATCAAACACCACCAAACTTAGGTGTTGTTTGATAAAACTGAAAATTGAAAATTAATGAATGCTAATTTTTTAAAGCTAAAAAGTTGTTTAATAAAAATATAAGTATTGAAGTAAAACAAATTGTTTAATATACATAATATTAAATTTAAGTTTTATTATTTTAAAATTATATTTTTCAATTTATATTGTGATAGTGAGTTGGTGGTAGTGGTGACGGAGACAACAATGGTGACTATAGCGCCAATGACAATGGTGATGCAGATAAAGGGAGAGTGGTTGTGGTGATGATGATGATGATGAAGGGGTAATGTAGTGGTGATGAAAATTGGGTGGTGGACGTAGTATAATGATGGTGGTTATTGTGGAAGTGCAATGATGGTGGTGGTTATGACAACGATGGTAAAAATTGTGGATGGTAATGATAGTGAGGTTATAATAGTGTATGTTGATACTAATGTATAAGTATTTATAAATTTAATTAGAATTAAATAAATTTTTTATCACTTAAATTTCTTTTTTAACCTACATTTTCAAAACCTCTTAAATAGTATTTGTGGTTATCAAACATGCTTAATTGATTTTTACTTAATACATTCAAATTTAAATATTAAATGAAGTTATCAAATACTACCTTAAATAATCTAATTAATTTACATTTCTCAATAAAATTACATCATTTGAACCTTGGACCCATGCCTTGCACAGGCCTTTTCTTTACTAGTACATATATATATATATAGGAGGTGGCAGCAGCATGGTGGTGGAGATGGCATGGTGGTGGAGGAGACGTTTGGGTCTCTCGGTTGTGTGAGTGCTTTAGATATGCTTGTTAGGTGTTTAACGAGTGTTGAGAGGTGTAGTGAACTTGAGAGTAGTGTTGAGTCACACATTAGGGTCAAAATTTATATTTTGAAATTTGTATTTGCTAACTTCAGCAAAATCTGTCAATGTGACTCAAAACCTCAGAAAGGAGAACGCGATTTCCAAAAGCTTAGGGATACTAATGTAACGGCAACAAACCTCAGGGAAAGTTGGTATAATTTACCCTGAACAGAATAGCCATCCAATGCTATGAACTTACAGTTTTTTCCCCTTTTTTTGAAATCAAGTTTGATATCAACATCCCAAAGTATTAAAGAATTAGTCCAAATACAATATTCCAATATGCAATGAAAATCTTCAGCAAATGACAGAAATGATGGCAAACAAGGTAATAAATATCAAGAGCAAATCTAATTGAAGAGTTGGAAAATACGAGTCTATATCAATAAGTAAAAATGCTAAAAGAAGAACTATTAATGGGTAACCAACATTTTCAATTTATCATTGATAGCTTACCGTACGAAGACGCTTGACACCATTACGACCAGCAGCTAAATGTCCGTCATTGGCATTATTTCCTGAAAGAGAAAATATTGACACTGGAGACCCGTCATCCTGAAAAACAAACCAATAACCAAAATTCAATTAACTTTCATAGAAAGTACAGAATGGAGAAGAAAGAACAAAACTATACAGTGTCATTACAAGCCTAAAGTATAAGAATTCAAACTATATTAGGTTAACAACATGGACCGTTGGTCAAAACCATTAATGATAGAAATTCCACCATCGGTATCATTGAGTCCCTCTTCTTGGTTCAAAGAGAAAGTTTTCCTTTCCAAGGGCCAAGTAGCCTATATCAGAAAATATATAGTGCATTTTACGTCTCTTTTTTTAAGAATCCCATTGGATAACTATTATGTCAAAAGAATGCAAATAGATCCCTTTGGGGGATTCAGGGACATATTTGACCTTTTTGTCAAAACATTGCTTATGTTATCAGTCTGGGAATGAAGCAGTTCATTAGGGATGACAATGAACACGATCAATTGGGTGACCCACACCACCTTGCCCTTATTGGGATAGATTTGGGAAGGAATTCAATGGGGTAAGGACGGTTTGGGGTGAAACACACAATTTGCATTCGGGTTGGAGACAGGGTTATGACCCCACCTTGGCCGCTTACATGTAACTCTATTTAAATGCCCTAAGTGCCTTTTTAAATGCCTTGCATATCCACTTATACATAATATCCTTAGTGTTTTCCAAAACATTTGAGTGCATGTCACGTGTCCCCTCCTCCCCTCTCCCTCTCCCTCTCTATACTCAGCTTTGATTACTTCAAAGTTTCAATGCATTATGTGCCAATCATCCCTCATGAGCTTCGCCCAACTTGTCATCACCAAGATGTTGGCAAACCATAATCCCTTGTTGTCTCCTTTTAGGAATTAGGTTTTCCTTCGATTTTTCTTTTTGAAGTTTCAAAAACTGTACAACGAGATATGGTGCAAAGTAAGTTTTATTCTTCCAATTATTTCTTGTTGTCGTGTTATTGTTTCTTTGTTTTTTCTCTTGGTCTTTCCTTTTCTTTCTTTTTTTTCATCATCACGGCTTTTCATTTGGTTGCCAAGAAAGTTCTTAAAAAATGGACGAAAAGAAAGGCAAATATTGATCTTCACAAGGCAATGTAGGAATAGTTCCTGGAAGTATATTCGGGGCTAGGGATGGGAGAAATGTAGAGACCTAACTCAGATATGTGACAGAAATAAGGTAGAATTTTTGCTGGCATGGCAGGGTCAAGATGAGGGCCCTAACTCATACCTTCCCCCTTGTTGTCCCTACAGCTTATGTATACAAATAAGGCTCTTCTAAATTTGTCATCATGTGTGCAATCATATAGGATGGCAGCTAGGGCTGTACAAATCACCAGACCGACCCGACTCACATACAAACGGTTTCGCCAGTTACCCGGTCAGTACAGGGCCAGTTTCACGCTTAAATTTCGAGTTTCAGTCAAGTTTCAGATTTTGTATGTAATAAACCGTTCAAACGGACCCAACCAATATATAAATGTTATTATATATTATTATAAATTTATGGATTTCTACTAGCTTTGATAAATTATACTTTGATTTCCAAGATTGAAAAGATGACCTCCAGGCTTTAGCTCTTCCCAACATCTCATCATTTATTGCATTGATAGTTACAAACTTATTAGAAACTATGCATTAACTTTTCTCCACCTGTTCCTTGTTACCGTCTCTCTCTCTCTCTCTCTCTAACCCTTTTGTTTCTCTCGCTCTAACCCTTTTGGTTTCTCTCGCCCTTCTCTCTCTCTCTCACTTTCGTCTCTCTCAATCTCACTTTCATCTGGCTCTGTAAACCCTTTTCTTTCTCTCACCTTCTCGTCTTTCAGTCTCAATATCTGTTAATCTGTTGCTATTCCTATCATGGTGTCAGTCTCTCTCTTCTCCCTCTGTCTCATGATAAATCTCTCTCTTTGAAACTCTAATAGATTCCTAAATTTTTTGGTGGTTTCACTCACCCCTTTGATTTAAACTTGAAGATTTGAAACCCTCACATGAAGACGAAAACTTCCTATGGTTGCGACTCACGGCTCATGACTTGCATGAACTTTAGATAAAATCTGAGTATAGGGTTTTGTAAACATTTTGTAAGACTAATTTATTTTGTTACCCATCCACTACGAAGCACGGACATGGATATGGATACGGACACGGACACGGACACGGAACACGTCAATTTTTAAAAAATTAGGACACAGACACGGCAAAAAAAAATTTTTATAAATATTTTTATTTTAATATACGTTAATTATTTTATTTACTTATTATATTTTTTAAATAATGTGTTTCTAATAATTTTTCATTTTATTTTATATACATGTGTTTTTTTATTGGGTTAATCACACTAATAATCCCTATAGTTTAGGGCTTGTATCAATTTGGTTCCTGATCACATCAATGTAACCTTTTTGTAGGGTAGCCACTTGGAATACATGTGTTTTTTCATTTTATTTTATATACATGTGTTTTTTTATTGGGTTAATTACACTAATAATCCCAACTTTGTATTAACTCCTTCTCTAGTCTCATCTACTAGCACGATATCGTCTGTAAAAAGCATACACCATAGCATGTCATCCTGAATATTTCTCGCTAACTCATCCATAACTAAAGCAAAAAGATAAGGGCTTAATGTAGATCCTTGGTGTAACTTAACAGTGATAAGAAATTCATTTGTCTCTCCAACAGGCGATCTAATAGTGGTTACCACCCCTTCATACATGTCCCTAATCACATTAATGTAACCTTTTGTCACCCCTTTCTTCTCTAACACCCACCATATTATATCTCGGGACACTCTATCATATGCTTTCTCAAGGTCGATAAACACCATATAAATGTCTCTTTTCTTTTCTCTATGCTTTTCTATTACTCTCCTCAAAAGATAAATTGCTTCTATTGTTGACCTGCCGGGCATAAACCCAAATTGATTCTCTGACACCTCTGTTATATCTCGTAATCGGCGTTCCATTACCCTCTCCCACACTTTCATCATATGGCATTATATCTCGCAATCAGCGTTCCATTACCCTCTCCCACACTTTCATCATATGGCACATTAGCTTGATTCCTCTATAGTTGTTGCAATTCTGGACATCTCCTTTATTCTTATATATTGGCACTAAAATACTCTTCCTCCACTCATCTAGCATGTTCCTAGCCAACAAAATTTTGCTAAACAACCTAGTCAACCAAGCAACCCTTTTTTTATCCAAGCACTTCCAAGCTTCAATAGGGATATCATCGGATCCTAAAGCCTTATTTGATTTCATCTTCTTAAGTGCAATCTCCACTTCAAAGTTCATAATCCTGCGATAAAACCTATAGTCTTGATTTATCGTATTACTAGTCGTTTATTCCCCTATTGTCGTACCTCCATGTTCCTTATTTAATAGTTTCTCAAAATAGTTCTTCCATCTTTTCTTAATCTCTTCATCCTTCACCAACACTTTAAAATCCTCACTCTTGATGCACTTAACTTGATTAAAATCTCTTGTTTTCCTCTCCCGTATCTTAGCAAGTTTGTATACCCTCTTCTCTCCTTCTTTACTATATAGTCTAGTGTATAGGTCATCATAAGCTTTCAACTTAACCTCTCTCACTACTTTTTTGACTTCCTTATTAGCCAATCTATAGCTCTTAAGGTTTTTCTCAGTTCTATCCTTCTGTCACTTTTTAAAGCACTCTTTCTTTGTCTTAACTACCGCTTGAACCTCTTCCCTCCACCACCAAGTTTCCCTAGTGCTGGGTCTCGTCCCTTTCGACTCTCCAGGCACTTCCCTTGAGATTCTCCTCATACAATTGGCCATTGAGTTCCACATAGTGTTAGTATCATCTTCCAAGTCCCAAGTAATTTCCTTATCCATTCTATTTTTAAATATTTCTAGTTTATCTCATTTTAGGTCCCACCATCTCGTCCTACGACACCCATCATCCTTCCTAGCTTGGTATTGCCCTCTAAAACATAAATCTAGTACCAAAATTCTCTGTTGAGAGATCAGACTCTCTCCAGGAATCACCTTACAATCATTGCATTTTAGGCGGTCCACTTTTCTCACTAAGAAGTAATCTATTTGGCTCTTAACTGACCCACTCTTAAAAGTTATCAAATGATCCTTCCTCTTCTTATACATTGTATTGGCCACCACCAAGTCAGAAGCCAACGCAAAATCTAAGATACTCTCTCCAGCTTCATTTCTGTCACCAAAACCGTATCCACCATGCACCCTTTCATAGCCTAGTTTATCTATGCCTACATGGCCATTAAAATCTCCACCTATAATCAGGTTCTCTCCTACGGGCATCTCCTGTAACATCTCATCCATTTGCTCCAAAAAATCTCTCTTAGTCTGATTATCTAATCCTACTTGAGGGGCGTATGCACTAATAACGTTCACTATATTCCCTCCAATAACTAGTTTAATTAACATAATCCTATCCCCTTTCCTAATGACCACCACTACATTCTCCACCAGACCCTTGGCAATTATGATTCCTACTCCATTCCTGCGTCTGTCCTTACCATTATAATACAGTTTAAAATCGGTATCCTCAATTTCCCTAGCTTTCTCACCCATCCACTTAGTTTCTTATACACAAGCTATACTAACTCTCCTCCTAATCATAATATCTACCAATTTCATCGTCTTACCAGTTAAGGTTCCTATATTCCAAGTGGCTACCCTAAACCTGTAATCTTAGATTACCTTCTTTACCCGCGCTCATCCAGAAAAATGCGGAAACCTTTACCCATTTTTCACCGCACTCAGGCGTCGATGCGGCGCCCCTTGCTCACTTTTCGAAACACCCAGAGGTAAGCGCAATGCGTTACTTGAGGGTAACGACCTAGCATTTAAATGATTCAAAGTAGGATTCATTTTCATAAGCGCAATGCGTTATATATAAAGCATATTATGTGAAATTAATTTGCGTTATATATATAAAACATATTATGTAAATTAGTGTTATATATTATATAAATATTTGATAATTTGTTAGAATATTCTTCAATTCGTCAAAAATCACCCA